ACACGCCTTAAAGCGCGCTGGCTGGGGAATTCTGGGAGCTGAAGTCCACACGCCTTAAAGCGCGCTGGCTGGGGAATTCTGGGAGTTGAAGTCCACAATCTTAAAGTTGCCAAGGTGGAGAAACAGTGGTCTAGCGCTACAAGATCAAGATGGGGTCTCCTATAGGAACCATCCTGTCTTATCTTTCTCTCCCCGCACTTTATGGGGGGAAAGTAAATCGGTCCCAATTCCAGCAAGAGCGAGATCACCTCAGCCACACGCAGCCGCCCCGAAACTTTCAAGGCACCCGCATGGCGCACAGAAAACCCGGCGGGAAGGAGCGGAGAAACGAAAAGTGCCCAACGCCCGTGCCTCGTACCGTCAGGCGAGTGGCACAGCCTTGGCGGCCATCCTGTTCGGGAAACGCCACCGAGTCGTAAACGATGCCCAGCAGGGGACGGTCCTCGAACGAGGGCACCAAGTGGCCGAACCCCTATGGGAATAGGAGAAAAAAGCAAAATCTGAAATACTCCGGTGGGGTTGGGAAGATCCTGAAAGGAGTTAACAAAGGAGGAGAGGAATCGCGTTCCAGGTTTCTTTCCGGAGCTCAAGGCAGCATACGGAGCACGGCTCCTATTTTCCCCCACTACAACAACCCTGGGAGGTAGGCCGGGCTGAGCGAGTGACTGGCCCCCCCGGGGAGTTTTTCCCTGAATCTCCTGGGTGTCAATCCAACACCCTACACCATGCCAATTCAACAATTTCGCCCACTGCTCAACCTCCAATACCCCGTGCCACCCCCTCGAAAGCCGATTCCGACCTCCGCCGGCTCGGAATAACAGAAAAGGCCAATTTTGCGGGGAAAACGCAAATTCTTGGATCGGAGGGGGGCCAGGACAGACTTTCTCCCCAGAAGTGGAAAAGGGCAAAATGCACCCTGACTTGGAAAAGGTGCCGCAGGCTGAATGGCCACCTTAGAAATAGGGAATGGACTGGCCACGAAAAGTGAAAAGCTCAAAATTTGGGTTCTTTTATTTTCCTTGCTCGTTACTTTCCCAACATGCGGAAAAGTAACCCGGCGGGTTTGGTTAGCTGCCAAATGCGGGGTCTTCCCCAGCTTGGGGGGGGCATCCAGAAATTGCACCGGCGAGTCTCCCCCCAGCTTTGATTACTCCTTTGCAAACCGGCCTGGGTCTTTGCCTGGGGCCGGGCCAATCCCCCCTGCGGGAAAAGGGTGAGATTTCTGGGTCGCGCTCTCTCCGCTTCGTCGGTTCTTTGAATCACGCTAAACGGAAACTTACCGTGACGGGAAGCTGGGCGTTTTCGTACTGGAGGTTCACCACCGCCACGGAAACAGCTTGGACGCCCGAGAGGTCTCGGATAAGGGGCTCGGATCCGGCGGGGAGCAACGCGGCCAGAGCTGAGAGGAGAAAGGGGCTGGGGGTCTTTTCCGGAGGAAGCGAGTCCCCGTATCCCCCAAACCCAGGGAGGTGCACAACAAAATCCAGCAGCGGACAAACACGGGGCCTCCCTTTCGAGCAAGCGGGGTAGCGTTTGGGCTGTTTCAGGATTGATGCTTAAAGACCTGAGCCGCGGGAATTTACGGGTGGAGAAAAGCCACAGGCGTCCCTTTCGGGATTGGCCCTCGCAAGTTTCTAGTCCTCAGGGTTGCACCAAAAAAATCAACTGGGTAAGGTTTCTTCATCTTAAGTTGGGGTACTATTTCCTGTGTGTGTGTGTATGTGTGAATGAGAGACACACACTTCAGTACCCCAACTAAAATCGCCCTGCCAGGAAGGATTCCTCCTACCTTTGGCTGGCAAAGCGCTGATCACATGATCTGCCTCCACGGTGCCATCCTGCAGCGCAATCTAAGGGAATAAAACACCCTCCGCTCTAACATTATCCTGCCAAGTCAACCTGCGTGTTGCTGGTCCCCCTTCAGACTGCTCCCATGCTATATTCCCCGAAGCTAGAAAGCAAGCCTCTCACCAGCCAAGCCTGAGAAGCTACATTTCTAAGGGCAGGGTTTTGGGTTTTTTTTAAATATTGATAGAGAGGAACATTCCATCTGCTAGCAGATGAAACTACCCTGCACAAATTTCATTATCCGGGGACTCCAAAGTGGGGGAAACTAGGCCAATCTTCGTAACATTCAGCTTAACATCCCCCCTGGACAACTCTACCTCCATGGAAAGACCGGAAGGAGGAGAACTTAGCTCAGGAGGGGGGGAAACTGGGGGAAGATGCCCCCGAGGCCCCTGACTGCCCCTTGGGTCCTACCCCGCACCTGCCAGGAACCAGAGGCGGTTCTCTCCAGCCGCTTCACAAGGGCGTTGCAATGGATCTCCACCCCTCGCTGTCTCGAGAAAGCCGCCAAGGCTTCTGGGAGGGTCTGCAGCCCGCCACGCAGGGACCACTGGCTCCAGCGGCCTTCCTGGGCCTGGCGGATCAGCCGGCAGTCCACCGGAGACTTTTTTGCTGGTGGGGAAGAGAGCAAAGGCTGGGAACATTTCCTGTTTGCCAAGCCTAGTTACGTGTGGCCCACAACACCACCTCCTTCTCCGCCAGACTGTTTAATATTGGTAGGTTGGCACCCTGCTTGGCAGGGTTGGCACCCCTTGGTAGGTTGGCACCCTGATTGGCAGGGTTGGCACCCCTTGGCTGGCACCCCTTGGTAGGTTGGCACCCTGCTTGGTAGGGCTGGCATCCCTTGGTAGGATGGCACCCTGCTTGGCAGGGCTGGCACCCCTTGGTAGGTTGGCACCCTGATTGGCAGGATTGGCACCCCTTGGCTGGCACTCCTTGGTTGGCACCCTGATTGGCAGGGCTGGCACCCCTTGGTAGGTTGGCACCCTGATTGGCAGGGCTGGCACCCCTTGGTAGGATGGCACCCTGCTTGGCAGGGCTGGCACCCTTTGCTAGGCTGGCACCCTGATTGGCAGGGTTGGCACCCCTTGGCTGGCACCCCTTGGTTGGCACCCTGCTTGGCAGGGCTGGCACCCCTTGGTAGGCTGGCACCCTACTTGGCAGGGTTGGCACCCCTTGGTAGGCTGGCACCCTGCTTGGCAGGGTTGGCACCCCTTGGTAGGTTGGCACCCTGCTTGGCAGGGTTGGCATCCCTTGGTTGGCACCCCTGGGTAGGCTGGCACCCTGCTGGTGGAGGAGAAACCCCACCAGCTCGGCCCCTCTTTCAACCCCCAAACAGCCAACGCACAATCACTGGACTGGCATATTTTGCTAAGTGGGGCTGAACTGCTTCCTTAAGCCAACATCCTAAGCCATAAATCATGGCTCTAAGCAGCGAAAGCAGGGATGGTACAACGTAGTCAGCCAGAATCAAACCAGCCACGTTACAACATGACGCCATGTGTGAACTCAATCCCAGACTTGGCTCACACATACCAAGCTATGGTTTGTTTAGCTATGGCTAATTCCAAACCATGGCTTCCACAGAACTCAAATCTCTCTCCTAACGAACTAGAGTGGCACACAGAGTTATTTTTTTACCCTCATTAAACCTGATAATTCACTATGCCTCCAAAGCCTCAAGACATAGACTGAATCGATATCAAGCAATTACGTTGTTGAACTTTGAAGCCTTGATAAGGTTGGAATAAACTCTTATGACGTGGAAGTTTCCCTTTTTCCAGTGACTCCTGAACGTCGCCTTCTCCGTCTCTCTATAAATACACTTCAGCTCCACTGAAAATAAGCTTTTCACCTAGAATACAATCCCACTTCTACTATGTGAGATCCTGCACCGGGCAGGGGGCTGGTGTAGATGACCTCAAAGACCCCTCCCCGTCTGCTATTCTCTGCCTGGCTCTTTCAGAGGATCTGAAAAGCTTTTGCACAATACTCTGTGCAAAAGATACGTGACTAACACAGCTTCCTGCGTCAGGCAGAAGATGATCTCTAAACTCCCTTCAAGGTCGTATCATTCTACAAAAAACCCATAAAGGTACAACCCTAAGAATCTCTCTCCCCGGCCTAGTTATTAAGGCTGTCCACCTCCAACTTTATTTTATGTATTTCATACATTCGGCTGATCCTCTGATGGTTTTGATCATTATTTTTTTTAAGCCTCACATTTCGCCAGGGCCATGCCCAGAATAACCGATCTGCACTTTTGTTCAGCAAGGAACAACGCTGGGAAACAGGAACGGACGCTCAGGGCACGGCAGTCCCCCGCGAAGACCCCACGGCAGAGGCTGTCGATGGCTACGTCAGCCACCTGAAAGGAGAAAACATGTGATGATTAGAGAACGTACAGTAGAAATCCCAACGTAGATTTAAAAGTAGAAGCTACTTTGCTGAGTGGAAGAACCTACTACTGGAATTACGAAGGAATTGCAGAATCGCAAAGTCAAATCTTTGCAGAATCCCAAAGTCGAATCTACTTGGTTGAATGTGGCTAAGTATTGCTTAGTAGAAATCCCAAAGTAGATTTAAAAGTAGAAGCTACTTTGCTGAGTGGAAGAACCTACTACTGGAATTACGAAGGAATTGCAGAATCGCAAAGTCGCAAAGTCGAATCTACTTGGTTGAATGTGGCTAAGTATTGCTTAGTAGAAATCCCAAAGTAGATTTAAAAGTAGAATCTACTTTGCTGAGTGGAAGAAACTACTACTGGAATTACAAAGGAATTGTAGAATCACAAAGTCGAATCTTTGCAGAATCGCAAAGTCGAATCGTCGAATCTTTGCAGAATTGCAAAGTCGAATCTTTGCAGAATCACAAAGTCGAATCTACTTGGTTGAATGTGGCTAAATATTGCTTAGTAGAAATCCCAAAGTAGATTTAAAAGTAGAATCTACTTTGCTGAGTGGAAGAACCTACTACTGGAATTACGAAGGAATTATACAATCACAAAGTCGAATCTTTGCAGAATCGCAAAGTCGAATCTTTGCAGAATCGCAAAGTCGAATCTACTTGGTTGAATGTGGCTAAGTATTGCTTAGTAGAAATCCCAAAGTAGATTTAAAAGTAGAATCTACTTTGCTGAGTGGAAGAACCTACTACTGGAATTATGAAGGAATTGTAGAATTGTTGAATCTTTGCAGGATCACAAAGTCGAATCGACTTGTTGAATGTTGCTAAGTATTGCTCTGTTATCGGTACAATATGGCATCATCTTTTTTTCCAGGTCGTTTTGAGACATTTGCCCCTATGGCTCTCTTGATCCTTGATTTTACCTCAATTTGGTCAATTCTCTATCTACAGGCCTTACGTTTCTACGTCATTTTAGGATGATCGGTTTTTATTATGATGTTCCATTGCTACCGTCGCACTCAGCCGTGCAGAAAATGAGCTGTTCTAAATCCTTTGGTTCTTTAGCCTTTTAATAAACCCTTTATACCCTATCCTATCATAGACTAATCGTTGCAATATCAATGTTAAATATCATTCATCTATAGATGTTAGCGATGTCATGATTCTATTAAAAATTAAACAAAAAAAAATGAAAAGAGAAAACACAGGATTTGGGGTCATCAAAGCCAGAGGTCTTGCTAGCCAGCCCTAAGACTGGGACCGGGGAACATTTTTCAATGATTTTTCGTCATTCCCATCGCCCCAGTCATCACAATTCTCTGGGCCTTATAGCCTGCAGAGATTTTAAGAGCTTTTCCAAAAGAAACAATTAAAAAAACGCAATGGGGTTCCTAAGTCTCTCCTAACACGCCACGATTCCCATTTTCAATAAATGAATTTAAGCTTGACGTGTCTAAGGCTGGAGTTTGGGAGAGAGATCAAAGGAGGAGGCAGGATGGCTTGTAAAAAGGGTTTTACATCTTCTAGAATTGCTGGCAACATATTCATTTCATAAATAATATGATTATTATATTGGCTGTCCCGGTTTTCCTCTCGCTCTACCGGCCAACAGTCCCCGTCACATTTCTGAAGCCCCACGAAAGGGAAGATTAATTGAAGAGAAGCTCCCTCTGCATGGAGCTGATAAGGCAGAATGACTCCTTCCCCACCCTATTTTCTTTCCTTTTCCCCACCTTTCAAAGACCAGTTTTAGCAAAATGTAAGGTCACCCGCTTTTTGAAAAACTGGTTTCAGCATCGCCACATTTCCCCCCCAGTTCTGCTCTTCTGCTTTGCACAGCTCGGCCAATTGAGCCTTGACCCAAAGACCCTGACGCCCTAGCTTTCTGCATGCAGGGGTTGCTTTTAAAGGCACAGCCACAGGAAGGCAACGTGGACCATCTTTAAAAGTGCTCCCTTTTTCTGGCGAGGGACAAAGCTTCCCTGTGTTTTTTTTCTTCCCTGTGTTTTTAAGATGAAGGGCCACGCGGACACTTAGCGGGTGAATTTTCTCCTGGAAGGAGGGTTCATTTCTGCGTGCGAAGCAGAGGCTGAAAGGCAGAAGAGCAGAGCTAGGGGCTGAGTGCGAAATACGCTGATCTCTTAAGACAAGAGATGGGGGGGTTGGTTTTTACGAAGGGCTTCCTGGCTCACGGAAATACCTCCTGGCCGCTACCCACCATCATGGAGAGAGTTGGGGAAGGTGATGGAACTTGCTGAGATGGCCAGATTGACTTCTTTGATCAGAGAAAAGACAATATCTATGTTTCTTGCTGACTGATAGGCTTTTTGCATGAAATAGAAAAAAATGAATGTATGATTTATGGTTTTGAGGATAAGACAGACTAGATTATTGCAGGGTTTCTCAATCTGGGCTGCTTGAAGATGGGTGGGCTTCAACTCCCAGAATCCCCCAGCCAGCCATGCTTGAAGATGGGTGGGCTTCAACTCCCAGAATCCCCCAGCCAGCCATGCTTGAAGATGGGTGGGCTTCAACTCCCAGAATCCCCCAGCCAGCCACGCTTGAAGATGGGTGGGCTTCAACTCCCAGAATCCCCCAGCCAGCCATGCTTGAAGATGGGTGGGCTTCAACTCCCAGAAT